CTCGGAGAGCGTTTCAGATGCCGCCCGCCATCAACAGGGCTCTGAGAACTTCTCAAGGGCAGCTCACTAAACCCAAGCAAAAATGGCACAGGAGGAGAAGGGGAGGGAGAGCTGGCACGGTGCCCGCACACCAGCCGATTCGCACTCAAACCGCCTTCCAGTTCCGGAGCTGGGGGGGCTCTTGGGGGCTTTCTTCAAACTTTCAGACCACAGAAGCTGCCACGGAACAAGAGCCACGTTTCAGGGCTGGCGAGGAGTGGCGCCGACTCACAGCTGCCAAACCCACCCTGTTGAAGGGGGTTCCAAGATCATCTCCCAAAGGGAGAACGATGGCTTCCCCAGGGCCCACGCGCAGCCAAGATCCCCGGCAGGCCCAGGCTCCCATGGCCAAACTGCAGGCCCTATCCTGAAACTGCAGAAGAGTTGAGCCAGGTCAGCCGGACGCCTGCAAGCTGCCTCTCGCCTTCACGCGCCCCACGTCTGACTGCTGGGTTTAAAACGTTTTTCTAAAGTGCCACTAAATCGGGATGGAGAAAGGTCATGACAGTGTTCATCGTGTGCCTCTCCTGCGGCACCCTCCCTCGTGGGTGAAGAGGAGACAGACACACACACACATACACACACACACCCAAGTGCACCATCCCCCATTTCTCCCCAGCCGGGCTTCTGCTTGCCCAGCCCAGCCCCAGGTCAAAGGAGCAGGACCCGCTGGCAGGACAGGCAGGGCAGCTGGTGAGGGGGACGAAATGAGAGCCCGGTCACTTTTGCCTAAAAGCAGCAGCAGCAGCAGCAGCAGCAGCAGCAGCAGCAGCACAAAACTGGAAGCCACACAAAACACTTCAGGTTCAGCTGGTCAGAGGGTGTGAAGAGAACGCCCCGGTGAGGCCAGATGTCCAGATGTGGCAGGCAGGCGCAGCCAGGGAAGAATCGCTGTGCCCCAAAGGTCCAGAGCGCCATCTCTGCCCTGGGCCCAAAAACCCAGCAGGCGGTCGCCATCTCAGATGCCAGGGCCCAGGCAGCTGGGCTCCTCCGGGCTGCGCTGTGGCATCTCCCTCCGGGTCACCTCGCCCGGCGGGGCAAGTGGCCCTTGGCTCCTCCCTGCCCCGGGCTCTGCCCTCTACAAGACCCCCTCTGGGGCAGCCGAAGGGAGGACAGCCGGGCAACAGGACGACCAGGCCCGCCGGCCAGTGTCCCTCCCGCAAGCCGTTACAGGCCGTTGCTGTTCCTGTGGCTCAGAGGGGGCTTGGTGACCTCCATCCCCGTGGAGCATGATTTATTCAGGAACTTGGGGGCCCTTCGCAGCAGCTTCTGTGCCTCCATGAACGCTTCCGTCAGCTCCTTCTTCCACTGCACAAACTCGGGGTCGCTCTAGGAGAGGAAGCAAATCGACGCTTCAGCACCCGCAGGACTGACCGCAGGACGGTCCTGACGCACGGACTCACTACGACCTGGGAAGCGTGGGACTGGGAGGAGCGGCACACTGTGTGGCATAGCGGCCGACGCGCCATCTGGTCCAGCCTCCAGCACGTCCCGTCAAAAGGCTTGCGGCAGAGGGCTGTAGCCCTCAGCCTCGGTTCTCCAGTCTGCAAACTGGGCGTGTTCTAGGAAGCTGCCACGCAGCGCTGACAGAACACCTGCTCCGAAGACTCGCTGCTCTCCCGGCTGTGAAGCCCGGAGCCCTGGAGACAGCGGGGCACGCAGCGAGCTTAGCCCCTGGGACGCCTGGCCTCGGAGCAGCTGGCTCCCCAGGAGAGCTCTGCTGCTTGGCATGGACCGAAGCCACCCTCTCTGCCATGCAAAGCACGGCCCCCCAAACCGCCAGGCGGCCCTCCGCCACCCAAGCGTGGCTCCTCTCCATCAAAGCTGGCACGCTCGTTAGTTAATAGGGATTACGGATCAGGTGCGAGTGAGAAACAGCAGCATCGCTTTTTCAGCTCCACCTCTGATGCCGCAGGAGCCGCAGAACGGGAGGGGGCGGCCCAGACATTCACTTGTTTATTTCCAATAAATAAACTCCCCGCGACCTGCGCAGGGACGCAGCTGACTCCCCCAAGCCGCCCTGCTCGGTTACCTCACACTGCAGGACAAACTGCTTCCCTCCTTTGATTCTGAGCAAGACGCACGTTTTGTCCTTGATCTGCGTCTCCTCCACGGAGAGTATCTGCTCCATCGTCAGCAGGTTTTGCTGGGGGCGAAAGGAATCCAGAGGTTGCCCACCCTTGCGGCCAGAGCGCGGCGGGGGGACCCGGGGCCGCAGAGGAGCACCCCACTTACCCGGGACTCCCCTTCTCCTCGCCACTCCAGCCGGTTTGGGAAGAGGTAAAAGTAGCGCCTCTGCCACTGCGTCAGGAAGGGGTTGCCCAGCTTCAGCATGTAGCCATGCACGATGCAGTCTTTCCCGAGGGCGTAGTCTGCGGCGGGAAAGCGCGCCGTGAGCGGCGGAGCCGGGAGGGCCCCGTGATGTTCCCCGCGGTGGGCTTGGCGGGCTTTGGAAAGGCCTGGAAAACCCTGCGGAGCGGAGCGTGCGCCGGAGGGAGGCCTCCCGGACCGTGCCTGGGCCGCGTGGCGCGAGAGCGGCTGCCCCTTTGCTGCCTGCTGGCAACTGGGCGAGGAGAGGGCCAGCGCAGCCTTTGCCCTCGGGCTCTCGGGGCCCTTCTGTTCCGACTCAGCTGACGCGGCTCTTGGGTCCAGAGGTGCTGGAGGACACCCCTAAATGCCAACTGCCCTCCCGATCTCCCGGGCCTTTACAGCTGGATCCGGGAGTTGTTGCTAGCAGCAGATCAAACGGCGCGCCTTTGCCTGAGCCATTCCCAGGAGTCAAACACGCCTCGGTGCCGCCACAAAGGGGCGCCTGGAACCCACCCGTCCTCTGAATCCTCCCCAAGCTCAAACCTTCCCCCAGGCCACTGCCTCTTTTTGAGCCGTAGCCAAGGCTGGGCACGTACCTTTCCACTGGGGGCTTTTTAGAGAACCCGCATCTGGTAAGGAAGCCTAGCGAGCCACGGAAGGCTATGCGCCCCACCCCTGGACGGGAGGCAGTCTGGTGGCCCACCCTGCCCGCTGTGAGTGGGACCCGGGTCCCTGGGGCAGCAGAGCTGAGCGCCCACGCCGGGGCCGGGGCATTACCTTCCTCATGACCCAGCTGCTTGTTCTTCGCTCGCTTCCGCATCTCCGCTTTGTCTGTGTCGGCATTCACCGCCTCGTACACCGTTTCGGCCACTTCCTGCTGCCAACGCTCGGAGATCACCAGGGGAAAGTTCTTGTACAGCTCCTGGTCGCTATCCAGCAGCTGGTGGGAAGGGAGAGGAGAGAAAGGAGTCACTTCCAGAGCCATCCACCAGTCTGCGAGTGACGCGCAGCTCATCCTCAGCACACAGAGAAGCAAACCAGCAGGCTAGTCCTCAAGAGCCACCCTGGCCTGGGACCTCCTTGAGCTGCGATGCCAGCCTCACCCCAGCCATGTAAGGCTGAGGTCATACGGGATGCCCAACGCAGTACCAGCCCTCTCCCTCCCCCACACCTCTGTTTATGAGACAGGCCGCAGGGACCCCCAGAATGGAGCTGTCCTCCCCCCCAAAGGCCCCCTGGCCACCTTAATGCCCTTTGTGTCTTCTTCATCGAAGGAGCCGATGTCAAAAGCGTCTGCTGCATTCACTTCTCCCCTCGGGGGAATCAGTGGGGGGGAATACTGGCAAAGCAAGGAGAGCAGAGTTACAAATCCACCCCCCGTGGAGATGAAAATCCTTGTTTTTTACTTATTTATAAGAGCAGCACTGGGTGAGAAGGCTTCAGCATAAACCAGGTCTTAGCAATCGCGTTCAAATTCAGCAATGAAGCGCCATCAAAGTTTTCCTTCATAATTTCTATGGCTTCATCGTCCGTCGGGTAATGGGGTCCTCACACACTCGAGACCTGCAGCTTCCAGATGTGCTGAATGGCTGCCCAACACATCTGGAGGGCGTCAGGAGTGTCCCCGATGGGCTCTGAGGGCCAGAGGTTAAATTCGGAGCGGGAGAAAGGGGGAACTGGGAAGGCAGGAAAACGCAAGCGGGCACGTTGTTAGGCGGGGAGCCAAGGCCTCCATTTCCTCTGAGGGCCTGCAGAAAACTGACTCGGGCCACCTCGGTCTCCCTGCCTCCGTGGCCCGAGAAGGCAGCCTGTCCTGCAACAGCGCCGGAAGGTCCTCTGGCAATCTATGGCATGAAGAGGCTCACCTTTTGCAGGTAAACATGCTGCCAGTCGATCCCTTGGAAGAAAGGGTGCGCTTTGACTTCCTGGGCACTGAGGGATGAACCACAAATACAGAGTGAGCTTCACAGCCCCGAAGCTGCACAGCTGTCCTGGCTCCTATTTAGAGTGGCTGGATTCAGCCCCGCAGCAGGAAAAATAGAGGCCTCCAGGGATTAACTTCGTAAAGGACCCAATGCCAGGGATGGGGGAGAGAGTTCAGCCGCTGTAATCCCAACCCAATCAGAGCACAGGTGCCCGCCATGCCAGGATCCACCTGATATGGCAGGCAGGCAAGGCGGGGGGCTCTGAGAATACTTGGGCTGAGCAACCCAAGGGTCCTCTTGGGTCCGGGGCTGGCGGGAATGGACTGGCTGGGGATGGGGGTATTTTCTACCCGCGATTGTTTCAATTACTTGCATTAAGCAGCATGAGGATTTTTTTTTTTAAATCAGGGTTCTTTAGCCAATTAGACTGGGTAAATATCCAAACCGCCACAGCCCTCGTTCCTCTGCCTCAGGCTCTTCCAAGCAGGACTCACCCACCACCTTGGCAGCCGAGCCTCTTGGTAACGTCTCGCTGGAGAAACCCTTCCAAGAGGGCCTTGAGTTCGGGGGAAAAGGAATCCGGCAGTTCCACGTTCTGGGGAGAAAAGAAGGGCTCAGTGCTCCGGCAAGGGAACCGGCCCTCTGCCAGGAGATTCGGATCGGCCAAGGCACGCCTGCGCGCACCACAGGCCCCCCTGCCAGAGATCTCCGGCTCCCCCGGAATGGGAGCCGGGGTGCCCCACGGGGCTGCCAGTGCGGAATTCCCCTCTGAAGCCGGAGGTCCCAGAGCGCCTTCCCAAGGGCCGGAGAACGGAGCCGCGGCATATTCAGATTAGATTTCACGGTTCTCGCTGCGCTGGGAGTTTCCTTGGAGGAAAAGCTTCTAAGCCCACCAATGCAATAAAATAGAATGCATAATGCCGGTGGTGACCGTATTTTTGTCCATGTTTTTAAAGTGGCTTGGTGAAGTTGACTGTAACTAAAAGGCAACACGCCAAACATTTGGAGCCGGCTTTAAAAGGGGTCCGTGCAAAGAAATGGGGGGGGGGGGCGACACGGTTTGAAACACGAACTGCTCAAGCCGCTGCTTACCACGGTGAGCGTCATGCGGTCAATCTCATGCTTGTCTTTGGTTTTGTGCTGCCTGAAAGGGCTGTGCCTGCGGAAAGAACACCCAAAGCACAGATTCAGCGGGGCAGAGAGGAAACACGGGGGGAGGCACCCTAATTCCCCAAGACGGACAGAAGACCCAACAGCTGGCACGTATGGAGAATAAATGCTGGACGTGCACTTGTGGGACTCCCCATCCCGGACAGACGTGCCCGATGGCTCACACACCGAAACGATGGTGCCCCAAAACACCGGCTTCACCAAGAGGAAGAGGGAAGAAGGCGCTAGTCTAATCCCCAAACGCTTCTCGGCTGCCCAGAGCAGGGAAGCACCTCGGACGTCCCTCCCGGCAGCCTAGCCTGGAAAGCCTGGCCCCGCGGAAGGAGAAGCGGACGCCTCCGAGAAGGGAGGCTGGAGCCCCAGAGCGAGCCCTCCGCTTTCAGAGAGACGCGGCATTCAGCGATCCCAGCGGCAAACTCAAGCCTGCTTCCTCGGGCTTTTTCCGGCACAGCCGAGGGAGGAGGCCTGCCTCTTTCGCCTCTGTCCGCGGCTCCGGGGCCTGCTGTTCCTCTGACCAAGGTGAGAAGCCATGCTCACCCTTCCCTTCCAGAGGCCGTGAGATCCTAGGCAGCTATCCTCGGGCGAGGCAAACAAGCCTCTTCCCTAATCCCCAGCTGCCCTTAGGAAACTGTCTATACGAGACAGGGGAGCAGTACTTTCATTCAGCGTTAATGCTGAGGTACTAACCAATTAATGCTGATCCCGAGTATTATCTCATCCCCCAAAGCCTGCGGAACCCAGCGGCAAGCTTGCTCTATTCCAAGGAGTGCATTTCCGCTCAGTCCTCGATCCAAGGCTACGTCATCTCATTCTTTACTGCAAAATTATACCTAACAACAACATCCCGGCGGAGAAGGCTCAGCCAGTCCGAGAGGGCAGGACTCACCCTCGGAGGAGCTTGAAGAGCATGCATCCCAGGGAGAACCAGTCGGCCGTGCTGTCGTACGCTGTCCCCTTCTGCAGCACCTCTGGAGCCATGTAGCCGTGAGTTCCGCTGGGTAAAGGGGTGAAAATGCGCGAGTCACTGGGGAGATCCACAGAAGTGACACGGACCAGCACGCAGGGTGACTAGCAAGACCGTCCAGAGCTCAGCACCTACGTCTGGGCCAACCTCTTGCAGCAGAAGAGGTGGGGTTACTTGCTCCTTGACGAGGGGCCCCAGGGTCAAACCCTGGCATTGCCCATTGCCAGGATCGAGGGGTAGCTGCGGAGGGAGGGCGGAACTCAGGGCTTGCCCTAAGCCCGCAGGGGAAGCGTTGTCAGCGTTTCCTGGCAGAGCACGTCACACTCAGTAGTAGTGTTCCCACTCTACTCACACGCTGGCGTGGGGCTTCTTTTTGGAGAAGTCACAAGCCAGACCCAGGTCAGATATCCTCACATGGCCATGTTCGTCCAAAAGAATATTTGCCGGCTAGAAAGAAACCAGGAGGCACCTGTCACTCTGCAAGTGAAGCAAGGAGATGCTTGCCCAATGGAACAGCTCATCAAAGACATGTGCAAACACACAGGAAAAGTCACAGACTGGCTGCAGAGTCAAGCACAACTCTGCGCTAAGCCCTTCCACTGAGACGTCCCAAGGAGAGCTTAACGAAGCTCCAGCTTTAGGAAGAGGGTGGCCAAGAAGAAATGCAGAAGGTCTCTGTAAAACCCAGAACCTTGCAGACTTTGGTACCAACCAACGTGGACCGGAGAAAGAGCTCCCTCAGCAGACAAGCCTGTGGTGTTCCTTGGAGAAACCGTGACAGTCGCCGCTTCCAGCACAATCCTGCTGCTCTCTTTCCACCTCCGTTTTGGCCGCAGCAAGGAATGCCCAGGATGAGGCGTCTTCAGGGACACGGCGCTCGTCACAGAGGCCGTTCTGACAAAGCCACCAGTTACCTGCCTCGGCCTCCCTGGAGCCTCTTCACCTCCCAGCAGCAGTTACCTTCAAGTCTCTGTAGACCACAGAGCGGCTGTGCATGTGCTCCAGCCCAAGGACGATCTCGGTCGCATAGAAGCGCATCTCCTTCTCCGAAAACACTCCGTGCTGCGAGAGGTGGTAGTGCAGGTCTCCACCTAGGGCCAAGAAGGTCCAACTTCAGCAGCAGCTCTGTGCGGAAAATCCTGGGTTCAATCTGTACTGTCTCCACCTGCGCGGAGTACTCGGCGCGGCCGTTGCGGACAGCCACGGAGAACCCCGCTATGGCAGTCGATGGCCTGGCCCGTCTCCACCAGGGACCGGCTACTTTCCATGTGCCCAAGAGTCCCACCAAGACTCCCCTGCTGCCGGCACGCGGGGGACCAAGTCAGACCCACCTGACTTATCCTGCTGTCCAGCGCCTGCCCAGCAGCCTAAACTTGCTTCACCCGCTCAAACCCCCCCCCCATTGCTCCTGTTTACCGTTCATCAAGTCCAGAATGAAGCACAGCTTGTCAGGCGTGTGGAAGGCGTACGTCATGCACACAATGAAAGGACAGTCCTGGGTGGGGAGAAACCGAGGCTGGCCCAACGCAAAGAGCCTTTCCCACCCCACATTATCTGGGCCACCCGCAGGGAGGACGTCTGGCCTGAAAGAGGCGGGAGAACCCGGAAGCCGCTCACGGGACCACAGGCACAACGCCCCCCCACCACGAGAGGCTATAAGCTGGGACGGGACCAGCCAGCGCTGGGAGGAAGCCCCTGCCATCTCCTCTCTCTGCCTTTGGACATGCCCGCTCAGCTCCAGACGGGCCTCACGCCTTTCGGCTTGACCAAACCGGGGGCCCCAGTGGCAGAGTTATGGACTAGCTTGATGATCCCCCAATATTTCCACAAGAGTAAAATCGGGGGAAGTAGTGCAGAAGCACGTCAGGCCTTCCCTTGCCGGCTGCTCCCAGAAGACCTGCAGCTTTTCCACAAGAGCTTTTTGTAAATCCACATCCGTCAACTGTAAACTTTCAACGCTCAAAAACGTTCTCTCTCTAGAAACTGAGAGGGCCCCCACCCGGAGACGGGGGGGACAAAGCCGCCCTGGCCCGTGTTCCTCTGAAGCTCGAGTTGAGCTTAAGGGCGAGGAATCTGAACCACACAGAGATTCCTCCACCTCTGTCCTTTCAGGGCCTACTGACCCATCTTCCCCGACAGGCTCTGAGGTCAGACGCGCTCTCTGGATCGCAGCTGAGGTCCCCATTTCCCCCTGCGCTACGGCCTCGGACCCAGCCAGGCGAAAGGCAGCGCACTCACCCCGGTGCTGACAAGGGAGAGCATGATCCGCTCATTCAAGGCCAGCGTTTCCCCTTGTTTCATCTTGATCCTCTTCTTATCCAAACACTTCATCGCGTACCTAGAAGGTTGTACGAAGAGGCTAAGGGGGAGCTCCCCAACCCTTGGAGGCCGCCAGAGGGGAGAGCGCCCACGCCGGCAGCACCAACGGAAAGAGCAGGGCCTTCTCCTCGCCTGCTCCAGATCCTTCACCCAGAGACAAAGAGGACTTGCGCGGTGATTTGTTGCTTTACGAATGAAAAAGAATCAAACCCAGGGGCTTCTCCAAGCACAACCCTCACTCTGCCCATTCCTTGTTTAGAAACATTCAGAGTTTATGCCTATTTGTCCAGCTGCGCCCAACCCACGCCCTCCGCGAGGGTCCAGCTCACCCAGCTTCATGCTCATAGCTGGAAGGAGCGAGTCCATGTGGGCAACACCAGCGCAACAATTCTTCCCACAGTTAAGCAGTCGGTTGCATTTTATGTTTGGGCATAACAAGGGAGAAAACCTATGGGCCACCCCTCCACACACCCAGACCCACACGCACCCTTCCCACGCTGCTGCCCTTCCCAGGTCAGCTGAAGCACAACTCAAACAACGGGGCAAGAAGAGAAACTCTTCTTCAAATTTCCGGAGCATGGGGAGAACTATATTCGCAAGATGGTAACCCCCACCCTCTCTGACTGCTCTGTTTTCAATGGTTTTGTCTGGAACAATTCAAGCTTCTCTCATCGTAAATGCGAGCAACGCAACTGACATTTTCCCCGTGTCTGCTTTACGGCAGCCGTAGACCTCTCCGAAGCCCCCTCTCCCGATGATCCGATGGACGCTGAAGTCATTCATGGTCAGCTGCGGAGAAAAGAGGGCAAAATGGAACCATTCGCCTCCCAAGCTCAGCTTCCCGGGGGCGCATTCGGAAAAAGCCCCCTTCATCCTTTTGCTTTTCAGACCTTGAGCGAAAGACCGATTCTTTTCACGGGGCAAATCCTGTGGAGAGTTGAGAGGACACAAGGGGCTTCAGGGGACAGAGGGCACCCGTGAAACGTGAGGGGAGGATTCAGTCAACCACGGGAACCAGGGCTGAAAGCGTGGGGTGGGGTGGGGGTCCCAGTCCTCAAATGCCTCTTCCCCACAGTGCTCAGAAACTGCGCCTTCATGCCAGGTAAACCGAAGTGTGGATGCGGGGCCAGCTAGCCAGGAGTCCTAACCACCAACCTCCCTCAGCTTTGGAGGTTCACCAGTGAGTGGGGTACGGCAAGGCTTTCTTTCTAAGCCAACAAACATCGGGTTATGCCTAGCAGGGGGTTGCTAAGAAGGCAAAAGAACCCATCCTTCTGAAGAGGGGCCTCTCCTGTGGCCTACTTTCTCTTAATTTAATTTCTTTAATTCACTAAAATCCCACATCCCGTGGACATTAAAGCTTTGCCAAGCAAGATGGCATTCTGAACACTTAAGGGACAACTCCTCTCCGTGGTGTCCTCCCAAACTGGAACTCCACCCAGAGAACATTTCTGGATCCCATCAAGCGGTTTATACAACCCGCAGCCAACAGCCACCACTCCGTGGTCCACCAGAAAGTGGACCGTGACTCTGCCCGTCCTGATTTTAGGAATGTACATGGAACAGCCAGCAAAATGTCAGGAACGTGCCCCAAAGGACCAGCAAATACTTACGTGAATGTTCAGCTCTACATTTTTCCACTGGCAAAATCTTGTAAACTTATCACTGGAAACAAGAAAGAGCGAAATAGCTATGGTCCGTGCCCACAGTAAAAATAAAACTTTGTCCTAAGATGAATTAGAAAACAAAACCAAACCACTTTAAACCACTTAACCATTTTAAAAAAGCTCTGTGGATTAGCCACTTTTTCTCAGCTGGTGTCCTGAAATCAGGTCTTTAGCAGCAGTGCAGAACTCCTTCTTCTAGAAAGCATTGGGGCAAATCACTGCAGAAATAACATCAGGCTTCCATATTTCCTAATCCCCTAAAATTCCCATTTGAATTGCATTCTAAAAAGTCTTCAAGTAAATCCTGAGGGAAAAAACCGAACACTGCAATTCAGAGAACTCAACAGTTTTTTTTAATTATTATTAAAAAATAAAGGAGTGCTTATTTCTGAAAAGTCTCTTTGTAGGACACCCCACATATAACTCAACGGTGCAAGTCAATTCAATGTCTGGGGTGCAAGTAGCCCCAACATTTCTGGAGGGCCCCGTGTTGGAGAAGGTCCGCTTAGACTCCCACAGCTAAGCTACAGCTTACACCCTTCCATAACACGCAGAGCATCTGCCCCCCCCCGGCGGGCATTTGTTCCTTCCTGCAGAGACCCCCCAGGGCCATCAGGCAGGGGGCTGCAGAGAATGAGCACACCACCCAACCCTTACCTTTCCAGAAACATATGGAAGATGGTTCCCCGCAAGCTGTCACAGATTTCTTCTATGTAGGGCTATGGGGGGGGAGGGGGGGGGGAACCAAATATTAAAACCATGCTGGTATCCATACCATAAAAACAAGACTAAAATCAACTTTCCCCAGTCTGGTGAATGATTTGGGGCTATGCCGTTACTGGCTGAGGATGATGGGCTTCATATTCCAACACATTTGAAGGATGTCAAGTTGGGAAAAAGTGATTAAACTGAGTCCACCTCACGTCTGGACCAAAACCTTAACCGTTCCATGCTTTCTGCACAGTAAGTCACTTTTGCCCAGGGACTTACTAGAGCTGTCGTTCTGCAAAGACGCGAACGAATTCCACGCTCACCTGGAAAAGGGTTGGCGGGACCTGCTTCTTGGCGAGGCGGGACTGCACGTGGCTGACGGTTTGTTTTGAAAACGGCTGTAGGGAAAAGGCTTGTATTTATTCACCCGTGTATTTCTTGGGCTGAAAGCAGTTTGCAGTAGGAGTGGGGCACCCCCTTCCCCCCTTGGGGCTAGAGAAGCAGAACGGGGCGGCTCCAATGCCCTGCACCAACACTGTAGCTTAAAGATCAGAAGCCCCTTTTTCTAGAGCACGCGCCAAGGCGGGCTGCGCAAGGAGTCTCAACTGCCTTAGGCCAAGTGCGTCCCCTCAACGACCGAAGCTTCCAAGCTGGGCGCGCTCCCGTGCCCAACCGCTACGGACTCCTGGGGCTCATACACACGTGCGAGCAAGACAGCAGCTCCTTCATAATGTAGGTGTCGTAGATTTGCCGGCTCCTGATGAGACGGTCCTCCTCGGAGTCAAGTTTCTCGTATTCTTTGATCTGCAAGACCCAGAGGTGCCAGCGGGTCAAGCGACGGCCCACGCCCCAGCCAGAGGGGAGGGAGCCTGATGCAGCGGGACCCTCTGCTCCTTCATCCTGCCACCCTGACCAGCCTCCGGCCAGCGCGCTCTAAAGGGAGGAGCAGGAGCACCTTCAGGGCACACTCTCTGCAGGTGGCGCGTGTTGTGCCTCTGACCACAGCACCCCTCCCCATCCAGGCGCCAGGCCACATATTCGTAATCGGACGCTGCCGCTCAACCAGGGCCTGCCAGACTCAGTCCTACTTCTGCAAGAGCCACGCGGGCTGCGGGCCCCGGGGGGCAGGCAGAAGAAGCACCACACGCCGCCTGGACCTTCCTACCAACCAGTCAGGGCATACCAAGCCCTACAATGCCCACGCCATAAGGGCTCGAGGGCTTCCTCATTCAGATGGCCGCCTCCTGCACCTTCAGGCCGACTGCAACCCTTCATGCTGAAACGTGGAAGGCTTGAGGCCAGCAACGTTTGGCGGCTCTCGGCACGCCCAGAGCGCCATTCTGGGCCTGAACCGCCGCTGCCTCTAAACAGCACCAGCCCTGCTCCAGGGCGCTCCCCTCCTGGGGCTAAGACCGGAACGCCTGGAGGCCAACCGTGCAATTCACAGCGCCCGGCTAAGTCACAAGTCCGTGGGGCGCGGGGGACTTACTCGGTGGGCAGCCTCAATTCAGGGCCTTCAGAGCCGCAGAGCGCGTCTGCAGGACTCAGCAGCCGGCCCACGCACCTTCCTAAAAGCCACCACGAGAAAGCCCAGGTTAGCGGATGGCTAAGCGCACGTTTTGCAGCTGGGGTGAATCGTTCCTCAAAACACGCTTCGCTGTGGCTCCTGGAGCTCCTGGAGCGTGGAAGCGCTCGACTCCTTGCAACACATTCCTCTGATCCGATCTGCTCTCCGCTTAAGTGCGCCGCTACCCCACCAGTAAATTCTCGCCCTCGCGCTCCGCCAGCAGGTGGAAACAGCCTCGCGCCTAGAACAGGGCAAGTCCGTCCGGCGTCGCTTCATCCCGCTCAGAGCTATTTAGGTCTCTGACTCATCTTGGCTGGGCTTGGCCTAACGCGAAGGAGGCCCCCGACCTTCCCTCCAAAACGTCCCGCAAGGATATTCCAGCCTCTGCTAATCCTCGGCCGAGGGCTCCGGGTTTCTGCCAAGCCACAGGGGCTGGGGTCTTGAAAAAGGAAGAGCAGCGGTTCCTCGACTGAAGCCCTCTCCCCTTCTCCTGCCCAGAACAGGAGGGGCACGCTGGCTGGCACGTCCAGGCAACTCTGGGTCACAAGAGCGGAGGGCCTGCAGGCCGCAGTCCTCACGGGGGAGCTCCTGACTCACAGGCACGTCACCGGACGGGGCCACCTTTGCCGGGAGGAGCACAGCAGCTGACGCCCGAGCACCGATTCCTTGGGTGCAAAGGTCCTCCCTCGTCTCTCCTCCCAGCCTCTCCTCCCACAGCGGTCAAGAAATGACCTGTTCTTAATTTGCCAACTAACCAGTGAAAATTAAGAGTATCTGCTTCTCGTCAAAACTGCATAAATGTGTCTCTGAGACACTGAAGGAACTGCATAGTGTAGCCCTTCGTGTCGCTAGAAATCAGGGTAGAAAGAAAGATGGTGTAGAAACCAAGACGGGTGACGACCCGAAGGCCCCGAGTTTTAAAAGGGTGGCAGGAACGCCCCTGGAAAAGGCCCCTGCCCCTTTGAGTCCCCACCTTTCCCAAGTCAGTTTCATCTGCCATGCTTGGCTTTGTGTTCCCCATGACACAAATACACCAGAACCCGAACTGTGGTTTCTACATCTAAATTCTCTCATGCACAACTGTCATTAATCCACAGCCAAGACTGTTGAAGTGGCACTCATCAGCCAACCACCCAGGACTGCAGTGCTCTGCAGACGTATGTCCATCTTCAAAAGTTTGCTACGCGAAACCCTCCCAGGGCACTGAAGAATAAACAGATGGATGCACGCGTGCAATACGGAAGTAAGCTCAACAATCACTATTTGAAGCACGGACAGACATAGGTTGCAATGTTGCAAAGAATCCACCCTGTGTTTTAATTTAATGTTGGTCCTTTATGCTAAACACACTCAGTTCCTTTGCTTTGCCTTGTAGCAAAAAAGGAAAAAAAAGGCAGAACTGAAACAGCCTAAAAGGAAAGTTGTTTAAGCAAGATATAATGGTGATCAAGAAAAAAACATTTTTACATGCACAAACCATTCATGAACTGTGAGCAATTCCTTCCTGGACAGATACTTAAACATAGCAAGACTCTTTTCGTCACTTCAAAAGAAAACAAACCCTCCAGCTTTCCGGGAGGATCAGAAAGGCGCAGGTCTCACCTCTTCGTAAAACTTCAGCTGCGGAACTCCTTCCTCGACGTCCGTCTGGCAGAAGTCCCTGAACAGCAGGAACCCTGGGAGACAAGCAAAGGGCACGATCACAAGAGAAGTACGAAACGTAGCCCCAGGCAGGACGTCCTAACACCCGGCTTCCCTATCTGTCCCTCAAGGAATGGGATTAAATGGCCCCAAAAGTCACGGCCACGAAGAACAGAGAGAGTCGGTGGCTTGCAGGGAGCTGCTCGGCTGCTAATAGCCAGCCGCGTCCTGGAAGAGGAGAAGCCGCTTTCATCAGCAGGATGCCAAGGAAGAAATTAGGAGAGGCAAAACCGAGGCTCTACCTGGACGTTATTAGAATAAACATAAACCATGCGAAAGCGTTCGCCAAGAGCCGTGAGCGAGGGTGTTCCTACGGACATGCAAGCACGAACGCTGCATGGACTGGATCGCCAGCCGTGGTAGCCGTCCAAGGCACGCCAGTCCGCGGGCACTGCCTCCTCTTTCCCCACTTGGCCTTGGATGCCCCACCTGCACCCCCCCAAAACACACGCGGCTGCAGCTTCCAAGTACCACCAAAAGTTGATGCTAAACTGCACCTCTTAATACGACAAAAAGGAGGACATTGTTACAGACAGAGAGATAAATCCAGAGGATGCCAGGTTGTGGGAGAGCCACTTACGGTCAAAAAACATGGGAAATAAGCACATTAACTGTACTTAATTTGATCTCTATTAGGGTAAAATTAAAAGTAGCCTCCTACTTCTTACTTCCCCGCTCAAACCCTTTTGGGAGCGTGGCCCCAAAGTTCAACTGAGGCTGGAAAAAGGTTGTACGTTGCCGCTGAGATGACCCGGATCCAGGCCACAGCTGGAGCTTCTCCTCCGATCTTCCACCAGCTGCCAGATCCCACTCTTTCCAAGCAAAGAGAGGGCGAGAGATCTGTTCCCCTGGCGATCACACCTGGGATGCGTCTCGACGCCGAGTTCAGAGCCCTCCCAGCGTTTTTGCCTGGAGCCGTCCTCAGCCCACCCCGGCGGTTCCATTTCTACGTCAGCAAATATGGAAATAATATTAAACCGGTTGACTCGCCCACTCTGGGCAGAGGTGACTCAGAAAGAGCAGATGGATTCCTACATCACTCAGTATCAGCATACGGCCAATTAACGCTCCGAGACACAAAGCCACAAGGAATATGCTCGTTTTGCAAAGGACTGAAAAAGCCATTAAGAAGTTTAACATTTGCTGATGGATTCAGGGGCAGCCTCAACTTTGTTTGCAGAGGAAATGCGGACATTTGCAGGGAGAATATGGCAATTTTCTTGGCAAGGCTGATCAATATAGGCGTACGCTGTTTGCCAGGACAGAATTATTACCAGGATATACCTCCCTCCATAAACACCGGCGTTTATCGTTCAGTTATTTCAGGGCTCTCTTTGCACTGGGGTAAACTTAACGCAGCCCTCCCAATGCCTTTTGATAAAAATCCTCAGCGTTTCTGGTCGCTGGTCTCGGACACTTACCCCCTTCTGAATCTGTAAGCTGTCCTCTTGGGGTTGACTCTCCCACGGCATTCACTGCGTATTAACAAATGGAATAATTCACGCAGAAAACAATGCAGGCCCCCCCCCCCATCTAAAGTATTATCACAGCAATATGATGAACGGTGAATGATCAACAAATCAACCAAATAAAACAAATATTACCAAAAAAAATCATCTCAAATTGGCAACATTTCTTTTTCTAACACAGGTGGGCAACCTGTGGCCTTCAGGTGGTGAAGGACTACAAGGCTCATCGTCCGACCTCACTAGCTGGAGCTGGTAAGAGCTGAAGTCCAGCACATCTGGAAAGACAAATCCGGTGAAGGGTTAAGTTCCTTTAATGTGTCTCCTAGACTTAGGCTCCATTTGGTGGGCAAGGGATGGGGACGAACCTCCTGGGTCACTTTAGCCTTCTACGGCCAGGATGGGAGAACAGTGGATTAATCAACAAATGAGTCTCAATCTGAAAAGCGAGTGTGCTGTACCAAAACGCCAGGACTATTTTTAAACACATTCTATTTTCACATCTGCTTCCTTCATTTAGCAGTGGCGTTTCATCTATATTGTCTTTTTTTAGAAGGCCGTGTTTTCTGTCTTCTTAGCCCAACAACAAAGCAGCCCTGCTCCCACATTAGCACGGAAAGAACGAACAAAACTCAGCCTTCGGAAACATGGCAACGAGACAAGCAGATGCTGCCACAATCAGCTACGGACCCGCTCAGACCGCCCTGTTCTTTCTGAGCTGAATTTGGCCAGGAAATTCAGCACCTTTGGTTCCCGCTTCTTCCCCAACCTGGCGCCCCTCACGTGTGCTGGCTGAGAGCGTCCTTTGGCAGCTCTCCACACCCAGGACAGCAAGGAGGAACGTGACTGCACAACCGCCGGTCTCGGGGCAGCCCTCCCACCGGCCCGGCTTCCTAGGAAACTGCAGTTCCAGACTACGGGGAATGGCCTGCCTGAAGGGCTGTCTGCGTCCCAGCTGAAGCGGCCCCAGAGGGCTCCCCAGAGGTAGCAAGATCTCCTACCCAGATGCCCACTTTGGCAGCTCCGCGGTCCCTCAAAAGGTCACCTCTGTCTCCAGCCCAGCCCAGCCCAGCCCAGCAACACCCTGGCCCGAGTGCCAACGAGCCTCTCTTTGATGAGAAGTCAAAGCAGAGAAAACACACACACCCATTGTCACAACCCCGTGTCGCTTTTGCGTCCCTTTGTGCGATTTCTTGCCTGCACCCTTCAGCATCTTGCCAGCTCAGAGCCCTCCCAGCCAGCAAGGAGCGCACGGGCCCACGCTCCACATCGCCGCCTGCGCCCATTATCCGCAACGGGAGGACTGCCAAAGGGTAGCCTGTCTCCGGGAGAACGCGCTCGGCCGGCAAACTGTGCTGTGACGGAGCCACAAAAAAGAACCCCACGCTGATGCTATAAATTAGGACCAAGATTAAAGGTTTATAAAGAAAAGTGTTGAATGGGGCTTCGGAGGGCAGCCTTTGTGGAAAAGAGAACACCAAAACCTCTTCCATCTCAGTGCTGCCAGTCGGTCAGGAACATCTCCAAATGACAAGAGCAGAGACATGGCGATGTCAGCCAAATGCTCCCCCCTCCCCACAACTTCCCCTGCCAACATCCACAGGGTGCCCCCCTCCTTCCATTTCTCTGGGTGCTGACAGCACACCGAGACAGAGAAGGCAACTCCTGCAGTCAAGACCAGGAGACCCCAGACGTGGGACCTCGTCCCAACTAAGTAAAGCAGGCCAGGCTAGAGGCCGGCGGGGGCAGACAAGAAAGGCTAAAGGCATCTCCTGGGGGCCCTGCAGCCCTGCCCAGGCGGGTTCCCTGATAGGCTACGCACAGCCTCCCAACTGCAGGTGCTCACATCAGCCCCAGAACCTGCCCGCCTATTAGCCCTTCACGGCAGACCAGACTAGGACACCAGTGTCACGCATGCGAATGCTACTTTTATTATAAGGCCACAGTAACAGAATCTTGCAGGTCTGAATGCGCTCCCCCCTCCCTCTCTTTGTCTTCATGAGAACCAGGGAGGGTCAAGTCTGAGGCGCTTTCTCGGGTTACAGTCCTACCCTGGACTCAGATTTCTGTTATCCGACTCCTGTCTCGGTCGCGGCTCCTCCTCTGGTTCCTTGAGGTTGTTCCTCCCGCCCACTACGTTGCCTGTCCAGAACCCACAAGCCCGGCTACCCAAAGCAGCCAACTTGATGAAGCGATGCCGGGACAAGGTGTCCGGCAGCTGCTTCTCCGACCTTCGACGGTTATCACCCCCCGCCAAGCAAGCAGCAGCTAATTTTAAAAGACTTTGCACATTCAAAACAAGTTATCCTTTTAAGAACCCCTATCCCCTTACTGTAAAGCGGGTGGGGGGGAGTGGATTTAAGTTAAGTGCTTTCAAACTCACTTTTCACCTCTAACCATCGGCGTATTCCCCATCGCCCAAACCAGCGGCTGCAAAAACCTTGATAATCATTTCAGAGTCCAACCAAGTTTTAAATAAAGGTAGTGTGAGTGACTCCCCTGACTGAAACAAACAGCTCCCCAACATGGTTTCTGAGGATGCCGGCAGACAGAAAACCGCTTTCAGACCAGCGCGCCCAATCTAAGCTGCCGATAAAGATTTCACCTTTCCCGGGAGCCAGAGAAGGCTTCCTGCAACCAGCCTCAAGCTACTGCCTCAGCACAGGAGACAAACAGCGAGCCCGTGATTCCTTAAATCCCAGTAAAATAAAATTGGAGCAAGAAGGCAGTGGTGAAAATCCCCCCCCCCCCCCCTGAAGATTAGTAAACACAGAGAAACCCCTGGAGCAATTGGGTGGATTATCCAGAAAGCCATGCTGAGAGATTTGGCTTTGCAAGCATTACACATCCATTCAGCGTCTGTTCGGGTGTTGTTTACATTTCTAAGGGCAATCTTACCCAGGATTTCTACAAACCGAGTTGCTGAAGGCAAACCCCGCAGAAAGGAAGTGCTGAGCCTGTCACCCACGCTCGCTCTCGCACACACACTCACATGCAGACGCACTCCGGGTAACACGAACACCCACAGCCATACCATAGCCTCCCTCAAGGAGGTTTCAGGGGCTGTGAAGGTGAGGAGCAGGCGAGGGTCCGGCCGGGCACCTCCTGCCTCGCTCTGGCTCTGGCCCTGCCCCTTTGCACACCGCCGTCCCGTTGGGTGGGCCTGTCCAGGAAGCCACTAAAGCTGGCCAGAGCAGCTGGCCTGAGCCAGGATGCTTGAAAGCAGCTCCCCTGAGCCTCGCCAAGGGTTAGCAGCCGTGCGAATTGCTAGCAGGAGAAAGGGCTACCAAGCAAGGCCGAGCCCTCAGCCGCCCACTCCTCATCAGCTCCAGCCACACATTTGCACCCTGGCATGACCCCTCCTCACCCTTCCTCCGAGGAGCTTGGAGGCACGGCTTTATTTCTGCGCGATCCTAGCAACGCAAAGCCATGGTTTCTTTTAGCCATGATGTGAGGGGGTTTCGGAGCAGTTTCCCACAACAGCAGGATCGATCATCCAAAAATCCCAGCCCCGAAGGATCTGCCAGAAGCCCTGAGTCTGCAGGCGGGCGGAGGCTCCCCGGCCAGGAAGGCTTGGCCAGTGCAACAGGTCACCTTCGGGAGAGCCGCCCGTCTCTCCTGCTGCCCCTTTGCACGAAGTGCTTCAAAACCGGCAGCTTCCCAGAGGAGAGACCAAGCCAGTGTTGTCTGCTCAGAAGCCGCCATCCTTGCCCTGCCTAACCCGCCGCTCTGGGGAGGTGCCGGGCTGCAGCTCCATCATCCCCGGCCAACGGGGGCTGTAGTCCCACACCCTGGGATCTAAGGAGATGCTCGCTCCCTAACGCGGCTGCAGAAAACGTGCTCCCCCAGGCCCATCAGGGCAACACGACACAGTTAACAGGGACAACAGTTAAAGGCAGTTCAGGGACTTCGGAGGGAGCACAAAGTCTGCTTCCCGGCCAGCCAGGCCGGGGACCTCAGAGGAAGCCGTGGCACAAAACAGCCGCTTCGCTGCCGATAAAAATAGGGTTTCCGACAAAGGCGTTCTCTGAGGGCCGGCCGGCCGGCCGCACCCACGCTTCCTATTTCGTTCAGCGAGGACAGGGCCAGGGAAGATGGGCGGATCTGACCCCGGGAAGCTCTGCTCCAGAAGCCCCCTGGAGATGCCACAGATCTGCACAACGGCCGTCCTGAAAAGGCTCCCTGAACAGGGTGCCGGGTTGTAAGAAGTTCCGGGCCAGCCTCACAGTGGAGCTCAGCAAGCCGCAGCCTGAACCTGAGAGCAGGGCCAAGCCCCTTCCGCTCGCCTGGGGAACGCATTTCTAGCTGCTTCCCTCAATTTTCCAGTTATCCGCTTTGGGAAAGCAGCGGGGTGCCGAGGGGGAGCCTGGCGAGGGCAGGCCTGTCGGTCCAGGACTGCGAAGCGGTGAAAGTCGCTTCAGCGGGGAAGCCCTCAGCGACAGCCAGACAAAGGCCAGCATTTGGCTAGTCCGCTTGGGGTGCAAGGGCCGTGGCAAAGGCGACGCTGCTGCTGCTCCTCACGACTGCCCTTGCCCTCCGGCGTGAGGGCCGAGACTCCGTCCCCCACAAAGGGGTCCCAGAGAAGGAGCAGAGGGCGTCTCCTTGACTCCATGAGGCCTCCAGACTGTGGGAGCTCGAACAGCCCTTCGTCCTGCGGGGCTCCTGGAAGATGCGTTCGCATTTCCAGGAGAGCCATGTGCCACCCAGAAGACGTGGTGTCCAAGGGCCACAGCTGCCCGGGGCTTTGCAGGCTGGACCAAGCGGGGTATTGCCCTAAAGCAGAAGCACCAGCTCTTCTCGCCCAGCCTGTCCTTCCCCCACACAAACCGGTCTTCTCCGTTAAGAGCCCTCCCACGCTCAGGCACGGCATCGTGGGCCCCACGCTCACCCGAGACTTACCAATCTTCTGGTTGAAAACCTTGTTAAAGGTCAGCTCCCCCCTCTCCTCCAAATACTTCTGCATCACGCTGCGGATGCTGAAAGAAAAAGAAGAGCAAGTAGGTTACTCCTGGCAATCTCTGGCTCTGACTCTGAGGAAATCAGGTGGATGAACCCCTCACGAGCGCTAAGGGAACGCGGGCAGGCCGGCAGTGCCGCGGGACAGCCCCACCCAGGTTCTCGCTTGCGCACTGAGCCATCCCGTGGGAGTCACCTTGCCCGGAGCCGCTCTGTGTGCGCGCGTGATTAAGAGGGTCCCGTCACGTCCTGACCCAATCAAAAGAACAAGACTCAGGGCATGCAGAAAAAACAACAAACCCTAAAAATTATGCTGCAGAACAGCCAGCTTAGCCAAGAGACAGAAAACGCCTGATCGGAGGCAAAGGAGGCTTGCTTTCGTCCAGCTCAAAGTCTCTTTCCGCCTGCTGGAGCGAAGCCGGTCGACGGTGGCTGCCCAGTTCAGCCCGGCTCGAAGGCTGCGGAAGGCGGAAGCACCGACGTTCCTCCCATTGTACCTCTCCACTCTCGGGGGGGGGGGCAAATCACCTTCACGCTGCCTGGCCAGCCCTGGGGCTCCTCTGCATCGCCCAACCCACTTCCCTGTCACCCACCCGCTTCTCGCGGCGCCTCTGCTCGCATGGCACAAGATGGATGGCTCGGGGACCAAGTCGTCAGCTTACCTCGAGCATTACGTTAGCCAAGAGGGATGTGGGAAGTCAAGAAGTGTGCCGTGATGTTCCGGCTTCCCATTAACCGAACTGACTTCTGGTGCCCCGCTGTTTTTCAATTATAAGCAAGCGAGGGCAGAGGAAAGCAAGCACAGCTCGCGACTGTCTGATGGAGTGCCTCCCCCACCTCAACAGGATACCAAATTCAACAGGCGGGTGGAGGAGGAAGACTGTAAGCGAAGACCCCGAGAGGGGCTCCGCCCTGCAGGGTGCACAAGGATACCGTTCCTCCAAAAACTCCAAATCCACAGCACGTTTCATCGCCGTATTTCTTCCCCACTGGGGACTATGTGACTGGAATAGTCAGTCCTCAGACAGCTACGAAGCTGAGCAGCAGATTTGGGGAGGGGGAGAAAAGGCCACGCAGGACACCAGCGAAAACCACACGTCGGACTGAAGACTAATAAACCACACGATCTACGGGTCCTTTCAGCGGCCTTTTTTCGGATCAGAGCCTGTCAGCAACACTCACCAACTAAACCATTTATCACAGCTTATTTCTCAAGACATCTGGGGCTGGATGGTACAATGCCTCCACCACGGCAAACAAGACATCTGTGGGAACAGGAGACGTTAGGCAAGGCGCATTTCAGCTCAGCACAACGCGGGTGGGGAGCAAACATCATCCAGTTCGACCAGCGCTGCAAAAGTGGTCTAGCAAATTTGCAACTCAGGCTGCCTGCGAAGCACTGGGCCACATCTTGGCTAACCTAAAACACACTCCAGAAACAGAGTGGCTTCTTCTGAACAGCAGAAGGAGGTGCCATTTGCACGTCCGTATAACCGCGCATCATGCCAGCCCTGGCATTTCCCCAGGGAAGGTCCTTTCACGCTCTCCCGTAGGATAATTACTCAGTCTCACTGAGTTCTTATTCTGAACGGGGAAAGGAGAAGTAGCTGAGAGCGTTTGCCAGAGATTTTTGGAAACGGGGAAGAAGCCAGGGAGGGAGACCATTTTCCCCCTTCGTAGTCTCCGGGCGAGCCCTGCTGCTCCAACGCAACCGTCGTGGCCCCCAACACAAACACCTCCAGTTACAGACTGCGTGGATTTCTTTCAGAGGTTCGCTTTCATTCACCACCGATGAACATCCCCCTTTCTCAGCTTGTAACTATAAACATTTTCCTCTAAGCCGTCCCTTTGTCAACAAGTTGCATTAGGGATGAAGACAGGATGCCTGAGAAATGAAGTCAATTAACGCTCCCATCCTGCATCATTAAGCCTGCAAGAGCCAAGCAGAAGCACCCGTGTGCCCCAGACGTGCCCAGGGGACGCCTAAGTGGGCTGCTTCACTCCCCCTCCCCCTGCGCGGCACCAGCCATCCCCCCAACGCATCTCTCGGGGAGCTGAAAGAAGCCAATTCAGAGCAGAAATTTCAGTCCACACCACCCAAACCCATCCTGGCCCCCGGGGTGCTCCCCAGATCCGAAGCGAAGCAGAAGAGGGCCTCCTTCCCGTCACCTGCTGCTGGGCCTTTCCACTGGGGACCAGTTGCTGCAAGGGACAAGCTACGCGGTTGACCCCAACCCAGCCGCTGCTGCTCCCGGACAAGCGAGGGATTCTCCAGGGCTACGGACCCCTCCTTTCGTGTCAGGGGTTGATTTGAGGAAAGGGCCCTCACATTCCTATTACGCAGTTAAGTCATTTCGATTTATTTAGGATAGGAAAACAGGGCGGGCAGCAGCTGCAGCGAACAAAGCGAAGGCACTTGGCCGTATTTCTTCGCAGGAGGCAACGTCGACGGAGGCTTGTGGCCAGACGCCGGTTCCACACTCAGAGAAGCAGGCACCAAATTTACAGCCCAGAGTTCCTTTTAAAAAATAAGGTGATGGTAAAGCACAGCCCAGAAGCCTGGAGGCCCTCAGGTTGCCCTTTCCACCGTCAAGGTGCTTGCTCGGTATTCATGAAAAGGGGCAGAGGGAGGGGACAGTCCCGCCCCCGACAGTCTCTCCCAGGTCCTGCGCCCGCATTCCAGGTGCCTCCTGTGTCTCTTCCCTAATCCTTTTAACACAAATTTGGCAAGCGGGTTCTATACAGGTAGGCGCGGAACTGCCACCCAAAGCAGCACAGAAAGATGAAAGCAGGAGAAGGAGCAGAGGCCCAGCGGGCACGGTGCTGTGGGGCAGAGGGACAAGCGGCCCCAGTCCTCCTGTGCATGCCCCACTAAGCCGCCAACGGGCACGCCCTCCCTTCAACAAGGCAGCGTGCTTGGCAGGCGTCAAGGCCCGCAGGACGCCAAAAACTCATTCTGAACATTGGACAGGGCAAATATTAAACCAGAGGTCCCGCAGGGTCTAAGCCACATGCTTTCACCTGCCACTCAACTTATCTCTTTCTGAAGGCCTGGAGACCTCCAGCCATTTCCCGAGGCAAGGGCTGCTGTAACTTAATTAGTTACCTCCTCTTGCTTCCTTGATTCTGAGAAACGGCACCCCTTGTCTCCCTGGCCCAAGCTAACCCACCTGCCCAGGCTGCTTTGGCTGAGCCTGGCCACTGGAAGCCCCCCGAGACACACCTCTGGGCCAGGACTCCTCTCCCTGCCGCTTCGCACGTCCTGCAGGCCCCAGGAGGCATCAGAGCCAGGGAAGGTGTCTTATCCAAAACGAAAGCCACGGAAACAGTTCTGGCACTGAAGGGCTGGCCAGGGGAGCGCTTTCTCCCAGCACCCAGCCTCGACCCACTCCTCCAAGCGCTCTCCGGCAGGAAACCGAGGAAGGTGCTGCAGAACCATTCAACTCTCCGGTTGGCACCAGGATCACCATCCTTGTGCAGAAGCCGCACGGGAAGGGAGGGAGCCGTTCCTTCCCTGTCCAAGACCGCACCAGCGAGCCCCCTCCCTCTGACCTCCTCTTGGGGTTCACCAGCCCTGAACCAAGTGGGGCGGAGCAGTGACATGCAACTGCACCGTTAAGAGGTCATCTGGCCCTACGCCAGCTGCAGAGGCAGGCCGTGAGTCACTCAGGACCCTTGTCCAACGTGGACCAAGGCACGGTCCAGCACACATGGCCGGGAGGGGAAGCCTCCGATCGCCTACCCAGAAAAGCAAAGTTTCCCGCCTCCAGCTATTTCAGCTACAGGTCTCCAGGTCTTTGCTCCTACTAACTTGGAAACAAAACGCGAAGGCCGTTCCCAGCACGGAGCCAAAACGAAGCCTCGCTGCGCCCTGTCTGGCGGCGGCAGCAGAGGTGGGCAGCGGAGTGCAGCAAGAAGAGCCAGGAAGGTCGGTCAGGAAGTGCCACGGACAACGTTCTCCGAGGGTGCCGAGATAACAGAGCAAGGGGGCCAGGACGGAAGCCTCAGCCTCAGTGGGGCACCCTGCTTAGAGACTTCTCTGGGAAGTGGGGACTGCCTGGGGGGAGCACGTCCCTTGTAATCCTTCACGGTGTCGGTTTGGCCCAGAACGCAGGATGGATCTCATAAGCCGCGAATCCAGGGACAGGATCGCACCCTCGAGGCCCGACAGAAGACGATCCTACCTCTGAGAGCTGAGGGGGGCCAGTTGCAGAAATGGAGAACTCCAAAGGCCCCGGCCATAACCAGCACTGACACGCAGCGCAAGGATCCGTTGGGCCAGCCGTTACTGTTTATAAGCCATAAATTATGGCTTAGTGTGATGGATGAACCTGGCCAACCGTGACTTAGGGCTGGAGGTCAACCCCGCCCCCGGCAGTCATGGAGAGGCCATCCCAGGACAAACGAAGGGCCCGGGAGGAGGAGAGGGAGGCCCTGGCCAGCCAGGGACCTCCAAGTGGGATGGCCAGTGGGGGAGGGACCCCCAGCATTCAGGTGGATCCCTCCACGTTTGTCCATGCCCCAGGAGGAGGAACAGAGGGCCTGTGGTCAAGTTGACCCCCCAGAATGAAACGTTGGGTGTTCTTCATTCCGGATATTGGCAACGGCATCCCAAGGACCCACACCCCACCTTTATGCAAAAGAACATACGGATGCTGGAAGCAGAAGCTGGCCCTGGAACGGCTTAGGAGGACTGGGGGGGAGCAGTGCCATACGGAGACACGTATGGCACACGCACCCCACGGGACCTCCCTTCCTTCCAGCCCCTTTCGGGCAATGGTCGAGGAATGGGGGGGAGGAGGCAGTTGCTTTTCCGGGGGGGGGGGTGGCAGCCGAAGAAGCCGTACAGGCCTCTGGGGG